AAAAAAAACGATGAAAACATGTACAACAAAATCTACACCGAGAGAGATAAATATTTATGGTTTTTCTACAATTATAACTTTCAGAAAATGTCTATATAAATATGTATGATAGTTTTTACTTTAATTACTTCCCATACATGCTGGTAATACAAAACTATACCATTAAAATTCCTAAGATGGTTAATGTAGATGACTATATGGAGTCTACATAAATCTGCTTAAATTTTGTAGAAGTACTGATTAGGTTAATGTATAAACAAATTCTTTTTCATTTTACCGAGTCTGTAATTCTTTTAAAAAATTGGGGGCTCATACAACTCTTATCACAATCCATACATACATCAATTGTATAAAGCACATTTGTACAATCTTTACCTCCAAAATTCTCAAAACATTTGCTCTCCACATTAATAAGCCCATGGCGTCAGCTCATTTTTTCCCCTAAACGAATTCTTTTTATGACTCGGTTTATAATGTCAGCATGCCCCCTGGAACATTAGTAGTAAAATGAAATTATAGATATAAAATAAACATCCCTAGTAAAGATAACTTTAGAAGTTGTTTTTATCCAGTTTTATATGTGTTCGAACTTCTGACGCTAAAAGTTTCATTGTAAAAGAGCCTGGAATGGGTTTAAAAATAGTATAATATATAGGTATTTTGCATGGCAAACACTCACTATCAATATCTAGGAATGGGCATGTTGAATACTAAGGGGAAAAGAGGTAAGCACAGTATGTATACTTAACACAACAAAGATTTGTAAGAATGATGTATCAAAGCAAGTCGTGAATATGGAAGATTATAAGTGACAAAGAAAAAAACTAAACAGCAAAGCCCTTAAATTTACAAAAACTAAGCAGAATTAATCCATCTATCTTCTTTCAAATGCTACTCACCTTTTATGTTCATATTTTTCTGCTTTTGCTAGTGCTTTTCCTGTTCCACTGATTTTTCTTATCTGAGAAGAAATAAAATTATTGGCAAAATTTTAGTCATATTTGTATAATATTTTATAATATCACTGGGCCAACAGAAGCAATACCTGATCATTTTCTTTACACTTGCTTTGAATGCCACAACTTAATGGCAAACCTACACAATATGCCATTCCTTACAAAACTTGTCAAAACAGGCCCAAGAGCAGAAAGGATGTGGCGCTTACCCCTCTGTCTTCCAGGGACCTCAACCTGGCCTCCAATTTGGCTCTGTTCTCCACTCCCATGGCCGAGCTGGAGTCCTCCCCGAACGCATCGTAACGGATCGCCAAGACTGTCTTTGCTGCCAGCATACGAGAAATCTAACAGAGAACAATGTTGAAGACAAACAGTCTAATTTTAATGTCAAAGCCCTCTTCATTAGCCATTTTAAATTACAGCAAATCATCATACCACCATTCGTTGTAAGATTAAAAACAAAACAACAGTCTTATTTCAGCCACTATTCACCCTCATTGTAAAATAATGCTGATTATAGCATAGCATTTCGAAGAGTTTGTGGAAAATGAAATTAAAAAGATAATGGGATTTCCCACACACTTTTGGAAGCCTGTGTATCATCTCTTCACTCTGATGAAGGGATCCATCCGTAGCCATTCATGTCTAAAGCTAGTTCACTGTATTCCTTTAGTTTATCATCAACAGTGCTAGTTGTACTCCTTTCCTCTCAAGTCTTTTAAATATCATGTTGGTCCTTTTAATGCCAATAAATACTTTGAGTGGTTGACACAACTACCTCTGGTTTGAAATTTGTAAATTTCAGTTTAATTCATCAACTATGTGCCCTAAAAAAAGATCAACAAATAGATTCTAGAAAAATGCAGGCAAATACTAGTAGTATTGGCTTAGTTGGTATGGGAATTCTTTAAAAAGTTAGATGATTTTGACCAGATAGCTTTTAACTATATGACTGCTCTCCTTGTATAAGCCTACACCAAAATTGCCATTTAATATACCCAACAATTCCTGGGTATCAAAATGTTTTCTTTACATTACAGAATTCACAATTTGTCAATTAACCAAAATGCTAACTGAAATAATTCACACCCACCCACACAGCTCCAGCCCAAGAAAAAGGCTCACCTTGCCTTTATGCTTGGGACTAGTCTGGCCTACCAGTGATGCATGGTAAATGAGACCATACTTAGGGGTATCCCGCCTAGACTTGAGAGCCCTGAAGAGTGCTTTTTCTGCCCCGAGAATCTGAACTGTAGAAGCTGCATGCTTAGCCAAATTCAAAAGGGAACCTACAAAAGAAAATGTAGTAGTTAACAAATACACTTTCCAAGGAATAACAATATTTACTATAATAAACAAGGGTTAAAAAAAACCCAAAAAACACAAGGGTTCCTGGGGCTAGGGAGGGGAGCTGCTATCAGAGTGTAAGAAGAAAATGTTTTGAAAACGATGGTGGCAGCAATGCTACAATCATGCCTGATATAATTGAACTATGCATTGTTCTACTTATGATGTGGTTTTATGACAAACTGGAAGGTTAGACTTGTTCAATTTTATTTATCGCCTATGTTAATTTTCTAATTTAGTAGCACACTATAGGGGTGGTATTAGTACATAAGCATTTAAGCATAAGTACATGGCAATCCAGTCCTCCTTTTCTGAATGTCAAATATTTTGTGTTTGGATGAGAATCAGTTGATTGTGTGCAAATGGCAATCTGATGAAATGCTAACAACAATTCATCCTTTCACTCAGGAATATTCTACGTAGCCACAACAACCTCTGACCATGGACCATAAGTGTCTCAGAAGAGGTAGTGACTAAAGATGCCTCCATGATCCCAAAGGAAGTCAGGCAACCAAGCAAATAAAATTCATCACTGAACACCTGGTCCTTGGTCTTCTCCTATATACCATTTCCCTCCCTGTATCTCTAATATTCCTCTAATAAATGATCAGAAATTTATACAACAAATTTGACTCAGAAAACAAATCTTTGAAGACCCATGCTTACAAATTCCATAAAAACCGCCACCTAACCTGCATGAGCAATAAGTCGTGCTCCAACTAATTCCCCGACCATGACGGTAACATTGGGTGCAATGGCCATCATCCGATTCTGTAGGTATTCATAGAGCTGGGTTCTATATTCTGAGATTTCAATCACCTATTATGAGGACACAATGAAGAAGTCAAAAAGAAGATGTATTAGGTACAAAACTTTTAGAACATTATCCTTTGTCTAAAAGTGGTTTTCAACCTTCCTAATGCCGTGACCCTTTAATACAATTCCTTATGTTGTGGTGAACCCCCAACCATAAAATTATTTTTGTTGCTACTTCATAACTAATTTTGCTACTGATATGAATCAGGTGACCCCTGTGAAAGGGTTGTTCGAACACCAAAGGGGTCGCGACACAGGTTGAGAACTGATGCTCTAAAACATTAGAGACTTTACATTACCAAAGAATAGCTTTAAGACCCTGGGGTAAATTTAATAGCCCTAACCTCCATTTCTTAGAAAATGATAGTGAATATTATTTTTATAATATAATTTAAAACCTCTACCGGCTAGACATTTGGGTCATGCACACTGTGATTGTGGTATGCTTGTTTCTAGAGAAAAAGCTCACTACAGGTTAAAAGGCAGACAGACCTCAGAAGTAAAGAACTCAACACCTCTCTGCTTTCTCACTGTGTTCCTATTGCTACTCCTACTCACTACCATCGAGTCTGATTCTGATTCACAGTGACCCTATAGAACAAAGGAGAAGGGACCCTGCGAGTTATAAATCATCTTTATGGGAGGAGAAAGACTAATTTATCTACTGTAGAGATGTGGTTGGATTTTTACTGATCTTGCAGTTAGCATCCCAAGATAGAACTCACTTTATTGCTCAGTGCTAATAGTACAAATAATTATTTGGATAAGTCCTCTTCGAATTTCAAATACAAACTGTGGAAAAATGGAAAATATCCTTAACTTTCAGCAAGCTCTCCTTCCCCCACCATAAAAATTAAGAGTGGCATCAGATGAGGTAGTGACTGTACATCCTCATGCTTGTATTTCAGATGAGTTAAGATAAATCATCATCGCCACCAGAAAATTACTATTGCACAGTACCAGCTATTTCTCTACTACGTGTATCGGTTTACCTGGGTACAGAGGTGCAAAATGTTGCAAATGTCCTCTTCTGAAACCTCCGTTCCCATCGATATCTCAGCAGCTGCTTTCACTTCAGCCTCAACCTCTTCGGGCAGTAACTCGGCAAGTGAGGCAGAAGCATAGTTCTTCCGATCCCCTATGGAATGTTGGCAGAGGATGGTATTACGTAAAATCCATCAAATAGGCAAAAGAAATAGCTAATCCAATGAAAACGGAGCCCAAACAAAACAAAAAGTGAACAAGTTTGACCTCCTAGGGGTTTCCTTCCCCAGACTAAATTCTAAAGATGATCGTGATCTCTCTCACTCACTGCTACAGAGCCCAGCTGACTCCCAGCGACCCTAGAGGATCGGAGACCGTCCCTGTGGGTCTGCGACGGTGCCCCTCTTCCTCCTCACAGCAGTTGGTGGCTTCTTAGGGCAGATGCTGCAGTTAGCAGCCAAAACTGACCTACTATGCCACCACCAGCGTTCCTCAAACCATCTCCCACCGCCCTCTAAAAAATAGATTGTACAGCGTTACAGTAAAACCCAAACAAAATTCTCCATAAAAACTTAGACAAACTGTCCAAAAGAAAGAACCGGGCTAATAATATTGACAAAATTAATTTGTAGCTACACCTAGACTAATGTGAACAAGCAAGCAGTCACTATCTCAATCTGATTCTTGAGGTAATAAATAATATGGTAACAAAATTAGCAAGAGTCAAGTAGTCTTTATTAGCCATTAATCACCAGGTGCCTATGCAGTACTACTTACTGTTATCTCCATATAGAACATAATAGTACAGATAGTAAAACTACTCTTAAGATATTTCCAGTATTACAAGATTCCTCCACAAATCTGCAATCAGCTCTGGTAAGGCAAATTCAGAGACTTATCACTCTAAGAATTATGTTCTCTATTGCACCCTAAGCAAGGTTAAAATTCTGATGAAGTAGGTCAGCACAAGCAATTTGAAACACCATCTTGTATCCAGGACCATATTATAAAGAAAAAATTTATTATCACTCATACTTTTTTAAACGATTCAAGTAAATTCTGCTATTCTCGATACCTTCACGGATATACAAATTACTCACCAACTTTTTGCAAACATTTGCAGTATGTCAAATTATCTGAAATAATTTTTCCTAATTCAGGAAAATGCCAGCCATACCATTCCCGACATCGCATAATGTAATTGTTGAGTTCTTTATCCAAGTCATCTAACAAAGCTGTAATGAATTAAAATGAAAAGAAAACAGAAAAGGATTTAAGAAACTGGAACTTGAGAGGCTAACTTAATATCAAACCAAGTGGAAGCAGACAGAATACAAAACTACACAGACTCTATTTACAGCAGAAAAAAGACAAATGGACCTTAAATAATATAATGTTAATAAATGTGATGGACCCATTGTTTTTTAAGAGTCCAATTATGGTAATTTCCCCTTTCTCTAGCCTGCATGTTCCCATTCACCTACTTCACATACTAAAAGTTCTAGCTGATCTGCCCTCTCAGTAACAGAGAACTACAAATGTTTCCCTAGTAGGAAAAATTATGATAAATAGAGATTTAATTTCACTTACAAATTGCTTGAACAATCATTGTATCCACCTTATCAGCACTGAATTTCAATCTGTATCTAGAAAGGCTGGGGAAGAGGGGAGAAATAAGTTAGGAAAAGCATTTAAATTAACATCTTAAAAAAACAAAAACGATCCCCGACTTTATTAACAGGAACGATGGTATAAATGATATAAGACAATGGTATAAAAAAAAAAGGAGGGTTTAACATGATATTATTGCTTATTTCATTTCTTGAGATGGGCTGTGTATATGTATGTATGTATATGTATATATACATAAAATCTTCTTATAATAAAAAATTGACTCATTGCTAGCTAATATCCCTTCCAAAAAACCAAACTCACTACCATCAAATCAACTGACTCGAGACCCTTTAATTTAGAACAGGGTAGAACCGCCTCTGTGGGCTTGAGACCGTTAACTCTTCACAGATAGAACTCTGCCCATGGAGCAGCTAATGGGTTTGAACCACTGATCTTGCGGCTAGTAGCCTGATATATCAGTTGACTATGACACTAAGGCTCCAAATCACTTAGCCGAGAATCACTAGTATACACAATAGCCACTAAACCTACATTCAGAAGAAACAAGCAAAATGCAAGAAGCTATTCAGACATGTATGCCACAGTATATGTAGGAGAAAAACATCTGTTCTAAGAGACTTCTGGTTAACCATGGGAAGTTAATGCACTTTTCCTTTTTCTATTCTAAAAGCCTGAGTAAAAGGCCACACACACACACACACACACACACACACACACACCACAGAAGAGAACTTTGGGAGTAGCACACAAATGGAGAACTGAACAAAGAAACAGAAAAGACAAAGGACCCAACACTAAGCTCAGGGTTAGAACCCAATCAATGCAGAATGTCTCAGTTCAAACTGGTTTCACTGCTTACAGCTTTACTGATTTTAGGAATCAGTTGCTCACCTATAAACCGAGGATGTCACCATACCCTGATAACGTTGTTTGAAGTGTTAAGGATGCATTAAAGTCAGAATTCTTTCATTAAATAAAAATGAACAGACTTTCTTTTTCAGCCCGTCTCACCTGTGAGCCAGTCCAAGACACATAGCTGCCATTTCCCGTGGTTCGACCCCAGGGATTAGTCCATCCAGCTGGGAGCGGATTCCTCGCATAAGCTCATTAACCACGGGACTATGGATACAACTGAGATTCAACTTTTCCTAAAGGAAGAACATTTACATTAAATAAAAAGAAAGCTTTCCTCAAACCATTTCTAAAAAGGTGAAGCATTGATTTAAACATGAGGGGATTTCACAAAGTTCATGTAAAAACGTTTTTCTATAAACCATTTTGGCTTATTTTTAATAATATAAAAATCCTATAGAGATGACATTTCTAATCAATAGTACTGTGAGTACTAAGTAAAAAGTCAAAGTTAGTTTCAAGCCTTAGGGCTTTCCTCCACTCATTACTATTATTATTGTCCTGTGCTTCCAAATACATTAATTAATTAATTTATTTATTTATTGACATTAGTTTTTTTACATTCACATTTTATCATGTAGGTGTGCCATATGCACTTAAACTTTGTATGCACCCCACAGAAATAGATAATAAACTTTGTTCTGTGTAGCTTCATTATTTTTCATTTAGTAGTGTATTTTCCAGCTTCATACAGATCTCCATAATTCTAGTTTATCTCAGGCAAATGACACATACCAAATTTTGTATGCTGCACTAGGTTTAAAACCAAAATATATAGTATGTTCTATAAGAGAGATGTTCTTCACTGTAAAACAGGTTTTCACAGAACTAAAAAGAACTTCAAATACTTATAATCCCACCATTCAACACACCCTTCTGTGCGCAAACATTGATGCCATGTGTGTACATTGCGCTCAAGCAGTGCTGCCTACTACACATTCTCACTGGCGTAATGTCTACATTCAAGACTCAGTTCCTTGGATGAGGAAAATGGCTGCTCAGTTCCTCAGACAGAGATTGATAGTGACAGAGTACCTGGCAGTATTAGAATAAAATTATTTCATTGAACTTCTTAAAATTAACCAATTCTACCTTGAAAACGCAAATTAAAACCTTTTACATGTTTTAACCTTCAGAGACTCAAAATAATAATGAACTTATCACTGTTACAACTACTTAAAAACAACTAAAGATGTAGCCACACAACTAGCTCCTACTCCATGCTGTTGTGTGAATGCGGGAATCTACGTTTTCCATCTTTCACCTCCGCCTTCACCTCCTGTTTCTAATAAAACGTATTCAACAGCAAACGGAACTCAATGGCTTCATTTTTATGGAAAGGGAAAAAATGCAGCCAAGTTAAAAAGAAAAAAAAAAAAAGCGCATTGGTCAGGCTAAAGCAAATGTTCTCATTTTCTCAGGGAGACTAGGAGGCATCAAAGAATCATAATCTTACCTTAATGACTCCTCCTAGTTTAGCATCAGCTACAGCCAAAGGTTCATGGGCTTCTTTTACAATTTTCTTCAAAACTTTTTTCAGCTGCTTATTGATTTTGCCCTCCATCAGAGCTGTGAATGCTTTTTAAGAAAAAGAAAAACAAAGCAAAAAAACACAAATTATCAATAGAAACATCTTAATTTGTTAAAAAACAAATACTATCTTTCAAAAGAATAGATTCAACATTACTTCTGAAATGAAATAATAAATGTTAAGACTGTTTTACAAGCATAGCTTCCATAACCTCATTTGATCTTCCTAACCACCATCCTCCAGAGTCCGGCGCTGAACTTGGGCCAGTGTCCCTCTCCCTGCCTAAAACGGCTCTTCTTTTAAGAATGGAGATCTAGAATCATGAAAGCCTGGAAACCAGGGTGACCAATACTACACTTCTTTGTAGATTCACAGAGCAGCCTGACATTCTAGATCATGCCCTAAAATTGTCATGTCTTTGGTTTATTATAGAGGAAAAAAGAACAGTTCACTCACTTCATAGGACATGTCACAGGGTAAGCATGGCCTAGCTTTATTAATCCCCAATCCAGACTTCACCTTAGGCTCCTGCTTACAAATTACTCTGGAACCACTTCTTTTTGTTGTAGTGAGTTCATTATTTGCTATTTTGTACTCCTCACGCTTCTTTTGGACCTACATGTACTAACACCTCTTTTGACATTAGTCTGGCTTTTGGCTGAGGCTAAAGCACTTCTACCAAGATGGCAGCCTGGCAAAAATTTTAATGTCATGGATTTTGTACTAAAACAACCCAGCAGGTACTACCTCCATCCTCCTGACTCTATCTCCACTTGCATTATAAAGCATTCCACTTCTCTCACCTGGCAAGAGAAAAGGCTATCACTCACTCACTCCATACAAGGATCTCTATTGTTGAAGAAGCTAAGATTCAAGCTACTTTTCTTGGGTTTTAATTCTTAAATTTATTTCTTGTAAGTAAAATTTATTATAGATTTATTTTAATATTTATAAAAACCTACTCCCCCATTTACGGAAAAGCTTTTGACTCTTCAGAATATGTATTTGAAAAGTGTATTATACAGGGATGGTAACAGAGATGAGAGAAGCTCAAGTCTTTCCTCTACCTGCCATGACAGCAAACTTTCTGCACACCAAATGTAGGCTAGCCCCAAATTTTACCAAAGTTATTGGACGACACACAAGCTGCTACTGTGACCAGGAGCTTCTAGGCCACCATAGATCCTTGATAGGACGGCCCATCAGGCTTTTATGACGCTGTGCTAGATTTTTAAATGCATGTTCTGGTACCGGTGAAGAGAGACTTGCCTAGGTGCCCATCAGACAATCTCCACGACACTTCCACCACATCTGAGACACATAGCTTTAAAAGTTGGTCAGAATAGGATGAATAAAGTGTGATGTATCCACCTAACAGAATACTGTATAGCCACGAAGAAAACAACGGTATCTGATTATCTATGGCCATACAGCTTATTTACGTCAAAACTGTTATTGATCATTAGAAAATTCCCAGGAAAGGACAGTTCTCATGATAGTCAACGTACTGGTAAAAGTAGGTGGGGGAAAGGTAGCATAGGCTTCTATGACTGCTCCCTTCATTTCTCTTCGCCAAATGGCACCTTCAATGACCAGACACTATGCTTGAATCTAGAGCGATTCTCAGCCTGCGGATCGCGACCCCTGTGGGGGTTGAACGACCCTTTTACAGCGGTCGCCCAATTCATAACAGTAGCAAAATTACGGTTACGAAGTAGCAACAAAAATAATTTTATGGTTGGGGGTGTGGGCCACCACAACATGAAGAACTGTATTAAAGGTAATGTTACAGCATGAGGAAGGTTGAGAACCACTGCTCTAAAGATTTCACAGTGAAGAACTGTCATGGAGCTTTGAAAGGAGACTCTAAATTCTCATCTAGTGTTAATATTCCAGCTATCTTACATTATTTAAAACACAGAAAAGCTAGGTAGGGAAATTCAGATACACTTCTAAGCCTCAGTTTTATCAGCTACAAAATCAACACTATCTTCTTACAGGACTCTTTTAAGAATGAACTAATAGTTCAATATAAGAACCAGTCAAATATCCGAAGGGGATTTCAGGCTATATGCAAAAAAGGAATTTAAGAGTGACCACTTGGGATTAGGATCAGTGCACACAATGCCACCCTGCACTGAACTTGAGCTGCACACAACTACAACAATCTCACTTGTGATTTTGCCCAAATTGCATTCCTATTTAACTTTAAGGATGTGACAGATAGAGCTCTAAACTTTCACGATAAAATGACTAGAGCATACTTTATGGTTATAGGGCTTTAACTGGAGATGTAACAGCTCTGTAACTATGTTGTTTTCTTCCCATGGTTCCATTCATGAGTCCTTCCTAAACCTGTCCCTCCATTCAAGTTGTGGTGTCCATTAATAGTACAGTATTCTACCTAACTACACCAATTTTCAGAGCCCTCGTGACATAGTGGGTTGCAGGCTGCACGCTACTGCACGGTTTAAATTTGAGCTCAATAGCCACCCTGCAGGAGAAAGATGAGGCTTCCTACTCCTGTAAAGAGTTACAACCTTGGAAACCCACAAGTGTAGTTCTACTTTGTCCTGTATAATAGGGAGCTGAAGCCAACGTAATGGCAGTGATTTCCCACAAGAGACCCATACCTTTTTCTCTACTGTGACCGTCGAACAAAATTAATCTAACAAAACCACCATCTCCCTTGTCTCTCATTTTCAAATTATACCACTAAGAAATTGAGTGACATAGATGCAAATGAAAACACAAAATAAAACAAAACCCCTAGCCCAAATTCTAGTGAAGTCAATCCTCATTTAATAAGTCCTATAATAAATGTCTTATCCTAAGATTAGGTTCCCTTAGGTACTCAAACTTTTCATGTCTCTGCATTTTTTTAAAATTAAAAAGCAAAACTATTCTTCCTAAAATTTGCTATGATACTGTATATACTTTTGCAAACTAATGATCAGAAAGCAGTGTACTTGACCACATTACCTTGGTCCCTTGTAGTACAGCTTTTAATGAATTGTGCTTCAGCATTATGCTGCTGGTTTCCACAGGGAGATCAACTTAACCACTTCTCACCTCTCATCACACTGGGGGGTGGGGAAACCAGCCCTATGGTGAAAAAAGCTAACTCAATGTTGTCTCAGTGGTAGTGACGAATCTGAGTTAGATCACATAAATTCAGTTCTAACAAGAATGCATCATTGACAACATCGAGTAAGGTTAAACTCAGGCAACGGAAGCAAGCACAGAACTCTTTAATAAGGAAAACAAATTAAAATAATATGTACATATATTTTTTTAAATTTACCTGCTAGTGCTTCTGCTGTATCCTGAAATTTCTCAAAATGTTTTAGCTTTACTCTGGAATAAAAAACAAATAAGCACATCATGGGCACACATTGACTTTGCAAATGCCACACATCTGGAGAAGAGGTGTTGGGGTGTTTCCAAAGCACATACCAATAAAAGAGATTTGCCTGTTACCAGGTGCCAAGGTACAGAACAAGCCATTCCTTACATAATTACTAGTTTTTCCAAATGTTGGGGTAGTAATGTTTGGACTATTATTTAGAAAGTTGCAGACTTTGAAAGACACAGAAGCTTAAGTGTAACCCCTGGTGGTCCAAACTGGGACACAGGTGTTCTTTACTACGCAGAGCTGGCCCAGTAAAAATGATGAGTGCATCTTGGGAGAGGAATCTTGTAGTATTCATGTCTATCCAGTGTACACACCATTCCCAGGTCTGATCACTGCTACTCTTTCCTCTCCCTTCCTTCCCCCATCTATATTGGGAGGTCTGGTAGCACAATATAAGTGCTCTACTGCTGACTGTAGAGGTCATTAGCTTGAATCCACCAAAGGCATTCCAAGGGAGAAAGATGGATGGGGTGAATTGCTTCCATAGAGATCACAGCAGTTCTGGTCTGTCTATGGGGTGCTAGACATCAGAATTGACTTAATGGCAGCTCATGTTTGGTTTTGCTTTTTCCTCTATATGCTATGTGCTGAACATAAAACAATTTTATAATAAAGCAACCATACATTAAAAAAAACAGTGAATTCATTGTCATCTCAGTGGTAGTGACGAATATTTGTTAGATCACTTAGATTCATTTCCAACAAGAATACATCATTGACAACAATGAATGGTTTAGTCCAGCCAACTGAAGTAACAAACCTTTAAAAAGGAAAGCTAGTCTTCCAGTATGCCTAACTAGTGTATCTAAAGCAATGCTTTCTTACCATGTGGTCAAGGAACCTCCTGGAGGCTCTTATTACTTAACACAAAAGATTTAAAAGTATTAAGTCTATTTTATTCCATCCCGCCCTATTCCTTTTTCCACTATTCACATAATACTTGTAAGAGCATATGCATATAAAGAATCACATTATACAAATTATTCTAAAATCCGTTTTCTCTTGCTTCAGTCAACGAGCTCTCTAGAAACGTGTGCTACAACTTACTCAACCAGTCCACTACTACTGGTGAACATTTAATTACTTAACGTTTCGAGTCTTTGTTACAAAAAATACTGAAACCACCACCTCTGTATTTCTACAGTTGTTTAAAAACATGCTTTAAGAAATTTAATTCTTAAGTACTTGATCACTTACATTTTATTTGCTTTCTCTGGTGTTTCAAATTCTTTCCATAAACTATCAACTTCTTGAAGTTTCTTCTCATTTAGAACCTGTAAAATTTTAGTTTTATTTAGATGGCACCACTGAGAGACAAACACATGTGAGTTCTCTCACTCTACTTTGTGTTAAAATGCAGTTAATACAATTACACTTCCATGTGTAAAATGGGGATGAGAAGTGATTTCTTTCTCTGACATAACAAACCAGTTCATGTGTTGTTTTTTTTAACTCAATACACACCTTTGGTCAAGTGGCCCAAGCTGTCCATTCTCAATGGAATCCACACCGTTAGGGTCTTGGTTTATGTGTGTGTGTGTGTGTGTGTATGCATGTATGTATGTATTTTAAAGGACTCTCTAGTCCCTTCATATGAGCCCTGGTGATGTATGTATGTATGTATGTATGTATGTATGTATGTATGTATGTATGTATGTATTTTAAAGGACTCTCTAGTCCCTTCATATGAGCCCTGGTGATTGAATTCGCCAGACCTTCTGCGGGAGAAAGACATGACTATCTTCTCCCATAAAGAGTTAGTCTCACTAACAGGGCAGTTTTACTGTGTCATATAGGTTCGTTAACTGCTGGCACCCGCAGCAACACTCGTTACTTCTGATTCCCCTCACATGAAATTACAGACTCTGCCACAATGTGTATGTATCAATCACATGTCCCAATGCAGTGGTTCTCAATCTGTGGTTGTGACCCCTTGGGGGGAGGCAGGGAGTCAAACGATCCTTTCTCAGGGGCTGCTCGACTCCCAACAGTAGCAAATTGACAGTTATGAAGTAGCAACGAAAATAATGTTATGATGGGGGGGGGGGTCCACCACAACATGAATTATAGGTCGTGACATTAGGAAGGTTGAGAATCACTGTCCTAATGTAAAGTGTCCTTTTAATCTATAAAACATAGCCATTAATATTTAGGTATTACACTCTTCAAGCACCATGGACTCAGTGTACACCTAGCACATCAGGAGCATAATTTGAGGTTCTTCTAACCAGCAGTTTTGAAACTGCATTCAGGGCTTCCTTTGTAACGGTTCAGTCACAGCCTGTTCCAGAGCAACCAAATCTCAGTGGACTTTGACTTAAGGAGAAAACACACAAGGAGCCTGGTAATGTAGTGGTTGAAGACTTTGGTTGTTAGTTGAAATACAGTTACTTTGAACCTAACTGCTGTTCTGCAGGAGAAAGATGTGGTAGACTGCTCCAGTATCCTTGGAAACCCTATGGGGTGGTTCTGCTCTGTGCAATAGGGCCCCCATGAGTCAGAATCTCAAAGGCAGCAGGTTAGTTTGCTTTAGGAACGGACTGCTGCGCCCTGCTCCTACAAAGATGGAGACTTACAATAATGAGTTTGTGCCAGCAGGCCTTCAACTTTGGGCAGGGCAAGAGATTTGGTTTCTAGGAAACATCTACTTTTCTCCACAGGGAAGAGGGATCCGTTTTGGGCGGGTCAGAACCCTGATAGCATTGTATGGAATTCCTTCACTCCCTTTTGAATAAGTGTTTGTTGTTAGATGCTAAGAATTATTTGGACTTGTGTATACCACCTGACAGAACTGACCTGCCTCGGCTGTCATCTTTACAGAAGCAGATACTACTCCTTTCCCCCACTTAGCGGCCAGGAGGTTTCAAAGAGCCCACCTTTTCAGTTAGCAGCCTGAACTTTTGAAAGCTTAACATGTGCCTAACTGTTAGCCCTACTAGGACGACTCCTGTGCAACTGCATACGTTTGACTGGAGAGTATCAAACTACGTTTATACTGGGTAAGTGATACAGAATATAAACCATCTCGATAGAGCTTGGAAAAATACACTGCTGAATAATCAGATTACATGTGAACATTTAGGATTCATAAGAATATAGGAAACCAAGGGCACCGAATGCTAGTCACAGCTGCACTGTTCAATGCAGCCATTTCTTATGTTGTGTTTGTACTGGGCCGATGGGGCCAAGGTGAGTATTGATACTATTCATAGGAATTACTACAATAGTTCTACATATCAACTGTATATTTTTTATGTATGGATACGTGCACCTTGGATTTTAAAATGAAAGTTTGGAAAACCGCCAGCATTCCCACAAAAGCATACATTTTCTGTAACAAATATAAGGTAATACCCTGGTATTCCCAAAGATTATGGGAAAGGAAGCTAATAAACTTGTGCTGTAGACAATGAGGCATATTTGAAATGTATGCATAACTCACGTACCATATTATACCCTTTTAAAGTATACAAGCACCAACAGAATCTAATTTCAGGACATTTTGTATGTCAATTTTACTCAAGAACAATCAAGTAATAATAAAAAAAGAATCAGGTAACAAGTAGTATAAACATATAAAAATGTCTGAATACCTTAGTTATTTCTATGAGATTATAGAAACAGTAATGTAATGTTGAATTGTAGCTGAAAAGAGCCAACAAAATACTCATGATTTATTTTTATGGTGCATAATACTCTCAATTAACAGAAACCACTAATTCACAAGACATAGTTGAACATTTTATAGCCCATGTCTAGAAGCCAGACAAAAGTTACGGCCAGGCCAATTCCTACCTATATTTGGAGGCAACAAGTATACAAAAGATGCTTCTTCCTCTAAGTATCCAATCTAGCAATGGCATGTATGTTAAATTGACCATGAAATTGGACGTACGTTCAGAAGAGTACTTAACAATTTAGGAAAAATTTCAAAAAACCGGAGGAAAACAAAGCAGGTCGAACTTTAAAGGGGAATAAAGCTCTGAATATGGCCAATACTGCAATTATAGACAAATCCAGAGAGGAAAAAGATGTCAAGTCACTGATTAGTCCAAATGTCCTGTTTCCATGTGTCATACACACAAGTTGTTTTTGATTCACAACTGGATTCCTAGTATACATGCTTTCCATGTAGCACTTTCTGCCTTCTCTCTGCATACTATAAATTTAACATAGAGGTGTAGACTCTGTCGTTCGATACTATCTGTATTCTCAGAGCGGAAAAAGTAGCTGGCATTTTTAAGGTCCTAAATCTAACCTTATTCTTCCAGACATCTCCATAGCTATACGACTATCCTGTAGTGGGTCAATCATTCCTGTGCTAATGAGCACGTAAGTCGTTCCAAACTCTTTGAAAATAAACAAATCCCAAACCGATACCATTAATCCAGAGTTCTCCCCCAAATATGTACCGGACAACTGCACTTCCTCGTCTAACAGGCCGTCTAAAACACAAGTTTTAGTACTGTTCAACCGCCCCGCACCTACAACTTAATCTCTCTTCTCGATCAGGGCAGCATCGTGCGCCTCTTTACTTAAAGCAAACCCTTCATCAATCTGAGCAAATCTTGTCAGTTCTATCGCCTCTCGAAATTGGTTTCCCTCCACACCAAATTAATCCAAGCTGTTATCTTGGATTATGTTGTTTGATCTATGCAAAAAGTCCTGACTTCCTTTTTTTGGTCCTCTAGTGCCCACAAACTAAATTTATTTAAAGGATAAATCATTTCAAACATGCCTGAAACTACCAAGGACGAACTGTAACGCACAGCGGGATCCCAAAGGGTGGGCCACGTGTTCACTGAAACAGGTAAAAACCACCCAAACCTGAAGCATTTTCCTTCCTTTCCGAGTCTGAGCCCACAAAGGCACACACGCAATTCGGAGCGGCCTCGTCTACCCCTCAGATCTGTCCCTCAACACTGGCCGGCTCCTTCCAACGGCTCAACTTCACCTACCTTAAAGATGGCGTAGCCCACAGATGTTTCAAACAGAACCAACATGGTGAGGGCGAATCAGGGGGCTGCGTGGCCGCCACGAGCTCCGATGCCAGCGGGCAAAAGTCAAACGTGCGGCCCCGAAGGCCTGCAAGGCCCCAGCTGGAAAAGTACACGCGCGCAGCGACCACGATGCCTACACGTCCCACACCAGCCCGCAGACCGAGCACGTGAACGTGCTCCTTCCCCGCCGCGGCTTGTGGGATATCGACGTCACTTCCGGTAGCGGACGTGCGGCATAGCGTGCCGTCACTTCCGGAGCGTTCCCGCCTTGGAGGATGGGGGAAGCGGGAGCAAATGGTCATTCTCGCGATATTTCAGAGAACACGCAAGATTTTATTTTATTTTTTACAGATAGGCGGTGGGAGGGAAACCTGCTGGGAAACGCTTAGTTTACCTCTATAAATTTTACATTTCACCTCAAAAGAAATGCGACACGATGCCATTTCTGTTTGCCTGCGGCATCTGGAATTTGGAGAATGCTAATTAATGCCGCTGGTTTCTACTCTGTTTTTCCCTGCCTTAAAGTGAACGACTCGGCATTCTTACTAAATGGGCATTTTCTC